AAGGCTTTTACAGCTTTCTCAGGAAATAGAAACTTAACCTAGAAAGATAGGAAGGGGGGGGCGAGCTGCACATACAGAACAGGAATGAGGCGCAATGGTTAGAACTAGGCTATAACACCTAGTGTGTAGAGGATCCACCCTGGGGTGGAGGGTGGCTCTTCACCTAAAGGTCTAGACTGTATAAAGGGGAAATGAGGAAACATGGGCTTGCGTCTGTTCTTTGGAGGACCTCCAGTTTTTGCCTTCAGCTGGAATGTTATTTTCTGGCCCACAGTGCATACTTCTTGGCTTTCGCCTCAGAACCTTCAGCCTTCCATCACAGACTCACCAGCTTCCTGATACAGACTTGCAAGGGACACTGCAGTGAGCTCCAGACCTTGGACTGAAACCTTCACTCTTCAGACACCCTCTGCACACTTCCTCATCCAATTCTGTGGCTGACCATCTAAACCAATCTTGTAATTTCTTATACATTTGTACATTTTGTGTTATATCTGTTTCTCTAGTAAAACACTGACTGGTATAGTGATATTTGTGGCTTTACAAGAGATGGAGAGACCTGAGCTGGCCCTTTGCTCATTTTAATGTTGTGGGAAAATTCCCAAATTAAAGGGAAAGGAAAGGAAGACTTTGCACCAAGGAGATAAGACAGTGAGGAGATACAAAGGAAGAGATAAGCAGGGTGTGGTAGCTCTCACCTGTAATCCCAGCATTCCAAAGGTGAAGCAAGAGGATCATTGTGAGTTGGAGACCAGCCTGGGCTACAAAGTGAGCTCATGGCCTGCCCAGCCTGCCTGAAATGCCTGTTTCAAAAAGACCAAAAAATGAAAAAAAAAAAAAAAGGAGAGATAATCTGTACACTAGTGAACTGTTTGTTGCAGAATAGGTTCCCCAGGGCAGCAGCACTGTGTTTACAGAGAGCTTGGTTTATATAGCACTGAGAAGTGGGAGGTACACAGCAAGTGACAAAACGTTACATAATTGGTTACATGTATTGAGTCCTGTATTGACAGGCAGGCTGGTCTGCAACACATTTGTTGAAACAAAGGAACTGTCTGTCATAATAAACACATCCGGAAAAGGGGAGGGCGCCCTTATAGAGTGAGCATAGTTAAAGGCGTCCTTGCCTAGCCCAGGGTGCCTTATGGCACAGACAATTACTCTGACTCGGTGCTCATCAAAGGTTTGCAGCTGTGCTTTGGACACCCTCAAGGTCAACTGAATTTAGCAGGAACTTGATCAGAGACCTCTCTACTTTGTATCATGAAATACATTCTATAAATTTATTTTATAAATGTGCTTTTCCAGTATAATTGTGCCCAACACTAACAGAGTCTCCCGCTGGGTCACAGTGCACGGAAGACCTCACCAGTGACCAAGCACTGCCAACGTCCTCGGTTTTCCCAGCCTCTAGAGCCATGAGTAAATAAGTTTGCTTATATACTGCCTAGTCTCAGCTACTTTCTTACAGGAGCAGAAATGGACTTAGTAAAAACCATCGCTTTTCATGGTAGACATATACATTTACAGCCTTACATTTGTTTTTTCTGGTTCCTGCTTTTGAAAAAATTTCAGCCACTGTGACTGAGGACCAGCGGTAACGGCCTCCGCAGTTTTCCAGTGATTTGCTGCTAGGAGAACACCGCGCGGACTTGGCGCGTGCGCTCTACTCTCAGAAGAATGGTGAGAGAATTCCTTAGGGTCACACAAACAGGGTTAATGTTTTCTGGGGTCCCTAAGCAAGGGAGTTCAAGAGCTGGAGCGGCAGCTGCAGGAGCCCGACAGGATAGAAGCCAGGCAGAGCCCAGGACACCGCAGCAGACCGCACAGGGCAGGCGCCCCGGCCCACAGCACGGGGGGGGGGGGGGGGGGGAGTGGTCACGTGGTCCCCTCCTCCAGCAGGGTGGAAATTCACCATCTGCGAGGGAGGCCCCCCAGGCTAGGCAAGGGCACAGAAAGTCAACCTAAGAATTTACTACATCGCAAAAAGGTAATGGCTATGCTTGACCCAAGTGTATGCGCGACAATATCGTATTTATCTCCAGACGATTGTTAGTGTTGAATTTTAAGATGCAAAATATTGAACAGCTGTAAAAAATATATCAAACTCAGGCTATTACAGCTGAAGTACACAAGAAGATCGAGGAGAATTACATAAAAATTTAGAACCAAGACATGAGCTTCAAAAAATGAGGTTACATCTGGGCGTGTGGTGCACATCTGTAATCCTAGCATTCCAGAGGCTGAGGCAGGAGAATCCCTGCGAGTTTGAGGCTAGCCTGGGCTACGTTGGCAGCTGTTGAGGCTGGAAACTGACCACACTTGCAGGACCACACCAGCTAGCTGGTCTGAGAACAAAGACCACTTGAGGCAAGCCACAGAAACAAGTGACTCTAGACCCCAAAGTCAGGTCCTCGGTTTGCCATACCAGCAGATTACTAAGCAACTGGGTGTCATGTGACATTAAGTTGCTAAATGTATCAATAAATGCCCCTGCAGTGAGGGAACATTTCCTTTCCGCCTGTCTATAGGGTCAGGCTCCATCTGACCCTACCTTTCCTCTTTATTTTTCTCACTCTCTTGCGGTCCTTCACCCCAGGAACCTCAAGAGCCGCGCCAGTGGCGGCAGGGCTATGCCTGCACAACCACAACAACAAAAATCCTTGGCAGATGGGGCAAAACAACGTATTAACTACAGCTAAAAAAAGAATTACTGAGAGATGATCCCCAACCGCGAACCCAGAATACAAGGGCAGTAAAACAGGGCCCCGGCACAGGCGAATTCCTCGGGTTACTCGTCAGCCCCGGCCGGGTTTCGGGACCTCGCGGCTCCTGCACGCCCGTGCGCCCGCGCGCAAAGGCCCCGCCAGGCGCGCTTTGGAGAACGTACCAAACGACCCGAGCCACGTGGGCGTTCCTCTCTTCTCCACCGCGCTTCCCCTGGCGGCTGGGCGAGCAGGCTGCGGACCAATTGGCCGAAAGCAGCCCGCACGGCGCCGCCTCCGCGCTCCGGAGCGTCCACGCGGGCGCGCAGAGCGCAGCGTCGGGAGCGCGGGGGCGGTGTGGACGCCGCTGGGAACCGGCGGGGGAGGAAAGGCCCGAAGCCGGGAGCTGTATCGACGAGGTGGCCGAGTGGTTAAGGCGATGGACTGCTAATCCATTGTGCTCTGCACGCGTGGGTTCGAATCCCACCCTCGTCGTCACAGAAGTTTTCTTTGCCGTTCCGAACCGCGGTCAGGGAGGCGAATCCCTCACCCACTGCCTGGTAATGTCCCCGCCTTTCCCATTCAAATTAATGTGTTAGTGATTTGGGTAGATTTCAAAGTCTATTTTTGTTTCCAGCCCACCGTGAGTTTCCCAGCCTCTGGTCCAGACACACTTCTAGGCAGCGTACCCCGGAGTCCCGGTTTAGACCTCCACCGGCCCCTCCCCATTCTCTCCCTCTCCCTTTCCCCCTCACTTCCTCCTCCTCCTCGAAGAAAGTTTCGAAGCACCCTGGTACGGAGTGGAGTGAAGCTGGCGCTCCAGGCCTGTCTAAGGCTGCTGCTACAGGGAAGAGGCGCTGGATTCAAACCCAAGCGCAGCACGAGCAGCCGCGAGTTTGCAGGCAATGGGCAGGGTAGAGTCCTGGGGCGGGGAATTACGGAGGCATCGAGGCTATCAAGGTAGGGAATTCGCTACGACTTGACGGGAAGGGGTAAAGATGAGAACTGATCAGGAAGAGGGCTCAGAAGCTCAGGGGAGCAGGCCGAGGGTGAAGAACTTGTCCCCTCACCCCAGGAATCCTCCCTCTGCTCGTAGGTCCCCCCTCACCCCCTAGCGCCAAGGCAGCTGGTACTTGGTAGGGCCAGGTCGCCGCAGATACCCGGGTCTTTCTAGGACCTAAACTGAGCGAGGACGATTTGACTAGAGTGATCACGCCATCATATTTACCTTTGCTTTTTGAGAGCTGGTCCTCCTCTGTGTGACCATCATTTCATAAAGCCACAGGAGGGCAGCCAGCACTCGGGACGTGTTTAAAGAACTGACTGCGGGCTGGACGCGGGAATGGCCGGGAGGACCGGACAGGTAAGTGCTGGGTGCGGCTACTGCGGAAGCTGGGAGCGTGGTGGGGAAGACTTCTTTGGCAGGGGTAGCGGGACAGTACAAAGAAGGCAGGGCCATCACACCCACCCACCCACACACACACTATCATGGATGTGGAAATCAGAAGCCGGTTTTCATGAACTTGGTAAACAACTTGGTGCTTATGTAACTCACAATATGAGCTGACTTAATAAAGGGCTCTCAGTTGGTGAGAGTACCACTTTGACTGGAAGGAAATCCAAGTCCTGCTGGGAGAAATACTTTCTTTGCCAACTTGAGGGAGGTCAGGACACTCCCTGCCCATCCCAGGGATAGGTCCTAGCAAGGGCAGGTTCCGTAAGCCAGGAGTGTTGCCAGAGGTTTTTCTGAGACTCTAAAAGGTTCACCTTGTTGAGGTCCCACCGAGATTTGAACTCGGATCGCTGGATTCAAAGTCCAGAGTGCTAACCATTACACCATGGGACCTGTAGTAGAAGTGCTGAGAACAGAGATACACAGCTTCGTTGAATGGCTCCTCAGCAGTAACACTGCCAGCCTGAGCCAGAGCTTGGTCAGGCCTTAGGCAGCCGCAGAGCCAAGGTCTACAGAGCAGAACTCAGGGCCACCTCAGCTCAGCCTTGGGTCTTGGCAGATTCCAGTTTTGTGGAGTCAAAAGCTCGCACAATTTAGAGGCCTCTTTAGGACAAAGGCATAGATGTTATAAACACAGAAGTAGATGTGGCCACTGCAAGGCCTGTATCATGTATCTGAGGATAATACTGGCGCACAGAGGCAGCTGTCTCAGCTAATTTCTAATGTATAAAATATCCCCCAAACACATATAAAGTAAAATTACACAGTTTTTATACAGAGCAAACCGTATCCAGGCTGTGGAAAGGGCTGTACATGTTAGAACTGTTGGTCTCAGTGAGAGCTGTGATACTCTGGTGTACTTTGGCAGTACAATCTCTACCTCAGAGGTTTTTCTTTTAAAAAACAAAATACAAAGCCATCCTATAGATATAAAAAAAATCTAATACTGTAAAATTTTTCAATATCAGAAGCGTGGAAATGTGCCAGTGTACTGAAGTGTTTTTATTTTTTTTTTGAAGTGTTTTTATAAAATATAAAAACACTAAAGGTGTGTTCCCACATGCTGACTCGGCAGTTCCTGGGAACGACTTAAATTTTAAACAAAACAGTCATTTGCTGAATAGTAAGGCACAGTATTAAACATTATTAAAAATAATAATTTGAGTGCTTATACGTTCATTTTTAAATAGAGTGGAAGAATATACACCCAGCAGCATACATTTTTCTGCGACAGTAAGATTTACCCGTTGGTTTTGGGAAAGCACAAAAGGCAGGCGCCGCGCCTTCACAGCGGCTGGGAGAGTAAGAGGCTCCAATGCCGTGCTCTGACGTCGAAAGACTCTGACACATCATCAGAAAACTTCTGTTCCGTTTTATTACGTGAGCAACTCACTGATCCTCGGGTAGACACATTTCTGAGAGAAGTATTCTGATGATTCAAAGCCGCACAGATTGGAAAACTTAAAACCTGAGCATCTGTACAGACTAAAGGACAGAAAACTGGAAGGGGCCCTTTAATGTGCCCAGGGCACGTTAATTCAAAAAGATCTTATTAGTATAGTTTGCAGTACATAATGGCAGTCTTTGCAGCACTCCGCGGGGTCTCTCGGGCGCGCTACTGAACGGCTAGAGCAGGCTGGTGAGGGGAGGGCTGGTCTCCGACTGGGCGTGGGAGTGAGTCCCTGTGCTCCCCGTCCTAGGCTGCCGGTGCAGCGCCCCGCGCACATGTATACTCTAAAACGTGCCTGCGCACTCCTGCACATCCTTACACCCCTGCACACTCCACACCGTGCACTCCTTACACACTCGCACTCGCTCCACACACCTGCACACTCCCCCGCGCTGCGCATGCTGCTGCAGGCCGCAGCCCCACCGGGCTTTCCCGGTCATTCTGCGCGGCATTCTCAGAGCTCCGAAAGCCAGCTCAGATTTTGCTCTTCCCGCGCCGTCTCCTGGCCGAAGTAGAGGCAGCACAGTCGCCGACACAGTGCAATCGCCAGGAAAGCCGGGTCTCGGACTTTTTGCAGCACGGAGAGAGAGGCGCGGAAACTTTGGGGGGCGGGGCGCCGAGATTTGGGGGGCTCTTCACATTTGTTTTCTGTCTCCCGAGGGGTAGGAAAACCCAGAGCAGCCTGCACCCGAGGCCGCTCGCATCGTGACTTCTGTCCCTAGGCCTGCGGACGCCTGTGGACTGCCGAGCGAGCTCTCTCGCCCCTGCGGTTTACACGCCGACCACAGCGACTCGGGACTCTTCCGGCGGCCCCAAGCAGACCGGAAGTGCGCGGCCGGCGGCGCATGCGCGCGATGCATTTCCGCCGGGGCGGTCTCCGCGGTTCCCGATGCTGCCTGCGGCAGGGGCGGGGACGGCGCGGGTGGCCGCGTACCCTGCGGTTTGGGCGCCTTCCCGCCCGGCCCGCTGGGGACCCGGTCTCCCGGCGGCCCCGACCAGGTGTCCCCCGTGCGGGCCGTACGCTCGGGCCCGAGGGACTGAGGCTCCTGTCTCGCGAGTGTCCGTGGCGCCGGAGAGAGCAGGCTGCATTGTGACGCGGACGAGTGCGCCTCTGCGGGGTTCCGCGCCGGGGCTCTGCCGGATCCGAACTGCCTGGCCAAGGCGGAGACCAGTGCTCGGGCGTCCGTTAGGGCGCCGTGCAGAGGCCTCCCGGGCGGCATGGAGGCCGGCGGGGCTGCGGGGCAGCTGCGGGACATCGTCCAGGTGACAGTGAAAGAGGACAGCGCTGGGGACCCGGGGTCCTGCCAGTCGGGGGGCGTGTCGTGTCCGGGGGAGCTATCCCGGCTGCGCTTTAGGCAGTTCTGCTACCAGGAGACCCCGGGACCCCGGGAGGCGCTGCGCCGGCTCCGAGAGCTCTGCCACCAGTGGCTGCGACCCGAAACCCACAGCAAGGAGCAGATCCTGGAGCTGCTGGTGCTGGAGCAGTTCCTGGCCATCCTGCCCGCAGAGCTGCAGGCCTGGGTGCGCGCCCAGCGCCCAGAGAGCGGGGATGAGGTGGTGACTGTGCTGGAGGACTTGGAGAGGGAGCTGGACGAGCCTAGGCTGCAGGTGAGAAGCGGAGTTACATCTTCTGTAGAGAATTTGAGGGCAGAGGTCGAGAATGAGGATGGCAAGGGTGGATTAATGTCACCCTGGTCGCTCCAAAATTGGTTTTGAGTACCCATTTTTACTTCATCGATGAATAGGATTTTGCTTATGAGATAACAGTTTTTGTGCGATAGCTGTCCCAAATGAGATAATTTATCCAAATAGGAAATCTTGCTTATGGCAGAAATTTTATTTAATATTTGGGTCAAGAAATAGGTAAATGTATAAAATAATTACTGTCCAGTGTATTTATTGTCACAGTGTGCACTCCGTTTACCATACATGAAAATAAATAAGCATAAGAATGTGAGAAACACCTTCTAAGAGAGACAAACACAAAAATAACCTAGAGGTAGGCATGGTACCACATGCCTGTAGTCCATCTACTTGGAAGGCTGAGTTAAAAGGATTATGAATTTGAGGCCACTCTGAGCAACTTAGAGAAACCTTGTCTCAAAAAATGCAAAGGGCTGGGGTTGTGGCTCACTGCTTAGAGCACAGGTGCAGCGTGAAGAAGACCCTAGGTTTCATTTCCAGTACTGCAAAGAGAAAGGAGACAGTAGGGGAGGAAGGAGGAATTTAGTGGTAGTGTCAGAAAAGATCTGGGTTGATTATATGATAGACCGTGTCACTAGTTAATACCCAGAAATGTTGGTATGTGAAGTGTTATCATCTAGTATCCTATTCCGAAGAATTTTAGAAGTCAGCAGAATGCCTTTTCCTTCTGTGGTGGTAATTTTAGAATACCATGGATATTGCTAGACACGTTTCAGTAATGATACTATCTATATACTTATCTGGTCTCATTGAAGATGAACTCCTATGTTTGTGGTTTTATTTGTTAATACACGTTTGTGGAATGCAGAATCTTTGAAATGAGATGAATCTAGTGCTAAAATTTGGCTTATGTTAGTTTTTTCAGTAAATTGTTTTGGGTTGCCAAGTAAAAGCATCTGAATTCAAAGTATCTGATTGATTGAATATGGAAGCAAATCATAAAGACATATAATATCCTACATCATGCCCATTTCCCCTAACCTCTTTCTGTTTTGCTTTCTTGGCTACACACTGCCTTGGAAGTGGTTAATTGCACACAAAACCATGTCTGCGCATTTTTGCTAAGCTTTTTTTTTTATTCCAGGAAATGAGCAAGGTGAGGAATCCACAGCGCCATGGATGCATGTTGGTGCTAACATTTTTGATAGGGTAAAAGAAGATAAGTATGACAGTTGAAGAAAAGCTTTAAGTTGTAAAATATTTGGAAAGAAATTAAAGAACTTGTGGTTGTATAACCAACACAAAGAAGTCAGTGTTGTGTACAGTTAGGAGCAATGCTGGGAAAGTAAAAGAAAGTTATCTAACTGGAATAGCTGCCAGTGCTACAAACTCCATTAGAACAAGGCATGCAGAATGGAAGAAGTGGAACATTTGTTAAGCATGTGGGTTGTTTAATACCTGAAAAGATGCAGTCTAGCGTGTCCTTTCTCAAAATTAAAGAGAAAGCTTTAAGGAAGTGGTGAACCTGTCCCACATGTGCTGCAACGGGTACGCACAGCCTTCTCTGTTGGTGCTTGCCATGAGTCGCCCTAGCATTGCCCCAATAGCTGAGCAGCAGAGAACAGTGTGTATACAGGCCATATACATTCTCCACAGAGGTTTCGACACCAGGTGGAGATAAGTGAGCCATGGCTCTTCAGGCATAGCTTGTTTAGCTTTCACATGGCTGGTCGGTGCACTGCCAATATATATACACATCTGCTTGGTCTGGCTGTGAGTTTTAATATATCTGCTTTTATTAGCACAAGATTTTAGCTTTGAGTTTTCTTACGAAAAATTAAAATGTTATGTCTAAGATTTAGCAAAGCATGTTTTAAGTAAGAGACTGAGTGTGGTTTTATTTATTTATTTATTTTTGAGACAAGGTCTCACTGTGTTGGCTGGCCTTGAACTTGCTTATGTAGCCCAGGCTGGCCTCAAACTCAAGGCAGTCTTTCTTGTTTTAGCTTCCCCCGTGCTGAGATTACAGGCTTTCAGCACCGTGCTTGACAAGAGTCTTTTAATGTTGTGCTGTCCTCCTATATATTTGAATCTGTAGCATCATGTCAAGTTGTTTGTGAACAATTTTTGAAAATATGAACAAGAATATATATATATATATATTTGCTTGGATTGGCTGTGATTGTAGCAGACCCTACAAGGTAGGAAATGCACTCAGATTCCTTTTTCAGAGGAGACTAAAAGCTGATAGTTAGTGGAACATTGCTCTCTTGCCCTTGTGGTCAACAAATGCAAGAGGAGCCGTAGCTGAGACTCCCTGCTGTAGACTGTTGATTCAGGGAATATCCAGTTACGTAGTGTTAACCAATGATTTGTGTTGGGTGCTTCATTTTGTTTTTTAAATTTTGTGTTTTTTTAGACTCCAAGTCTTGAACACCAAAAAATGACTACAGCAAAAAAAGCAAAACTGAAACCAGATAGTGGAAGATCGTTCCAGGAGGCCTGGACAGAGTCATTTGGAGTGATTGAACGCGATGGAAAAGCGTTATGTGTTCTGTGTAGTAAAAGCATTGTGTGTCGCACATCAAGTGTCAGACGGCACTTTGACACCAACCACAAAAGTGTTGCTGAACTTGGCGAAACTGAAAGGAAAGAATTTCTTGAAGGGAAATTGAGGAAATACCATTTCCAGTATCTTAGTTTTTGCAACTATCTTTCTAAAACAAATCATCTGACAGCTGCCAGCTTTCAAATTTCACTGAGCATCGTAAAACATGGTAAGCCCCTCTCTGATGGGGATTTTATCAAAATGGCCATGCTGTCTGGGAGTAATTCCCTTTTTCATGATTTCCCAAATAAGGATAAAATTATTCAGCGTATCTCTGAGATGCCACTTAGCAGAAATACTGTTAAAGATCGAGTCCTGCGCATGGCAAGTGATGTTAGTCAGCAGCTCGGCACTGACCTACAGGAGGCGGCCTGTTACTCCATGTGCCTGGATGAAAGCACAGATCTAAATAACCATGTAAGCCTGGCAGTGATTCTGCGTTACGCTGTTGGTGACATGATGAGAGAAGAGCTGGTGAAACTGGCGTCACTGCCTGGAAGAATACAAGGGATAGACATATACAATGCTGTGATGGAGGCTTTTTTGTCACAAAACTTAAGACCAGAAAAAGTGGTTTCAATTACTAGTGATGGGGCACCTTGCATGGTGGGGACAACATCTGGTTTCATACAGTTCTTTGTTAAAGAAGCAAAACACCCAGTCATTCAGTTTCATTGTATTATACATCAGGAAGCTCTTTATGGTAGGGAAAGCAACAAAAAATTAGACGACATCCTCAAAGACATCAGCAAAATGGTGAATTACATCAAGGTTCATGCTCTTAAGTTTGAACAGTTTCAAGCGCTTCTTGCTGAGGTTCACGCTCAGTATAATGCTTTGCTTGTATACAATAATAATGTCTGGAGGCTGAGCAGAGGACGAGTCCTAGAGACATTTGTAGCCTGTTTGGATGAAATTAGGCTTTTTATGAATGAAAAAGGGCAAGAATATCCACAGCTCACTGATACGGCCTGGCTTAATAACCTCATGTTTTTTACAGATTTTACACTACACTTCAACGTACTAAACAAAAAACTCCAAAGTGTAGGGAAGACAGCAGACAGGATGTTTTGTGATATCAAAACATTTGAGAAAAAACTACAGGTTTTTGAAAGAGACCTAGAAAGTGGGCAGCTGAAATATTTTCCAAATCTCAAAATGCATTTAGAAAATTGTACATTGACGGACAACGCTACAAACTATCAGGAAATCTACAAGGAATTTTCTAGCATAGTTGCAGCTGCAAGGGAGAATTTTAGTAACAGATTTTTACAGTTCCATAAGATGGAGACAACCTTGTGTTTTCTTACTTCTCCAGATAAAGCTAGATTTGAAGAGCTTGATCTTTCCTGCTTACACTGGTTAGACTGTGGAAATCTAGAAATGGAGCTATTGGAATTTCAAGAAAGCTGTATCTGGAAAAATAAATTCTATGACTTGCGTGCAACACTTGAGAAGCTAGAGAAGACAGAGTGTGAAGGAATGACACAGGACAGCGCAGTTGGTAGTTTTGAGAATGAAATCCTTAAAGTGTGGAATTCTCTGCCAGATACTTTTAAGTCAATGAAAGCGCTTGGGATTGCTTTTCTTACTTTGTTTGGATCATCTTACGCTTGTGAGCAGCTGTTTTCAGCTTTGAATTTTATCAAATCTGATAGAAGAAACAGACTAACAGATGATCTGAGTGCTGCATATGTTGCTCTCAAATTAACAAAGTATGAGCCACGGTTTGAGAAATTATCAGCATGCATACAACAGCAAAGATCACATTAACTGTGCAAAAGCACCCCAAATGCAGACCTTTCAGTAAAAAGCCATTTGTATCATTGAAAGCTCTGTTACTGTGTTTTTCTTTTAAGACAAAAGATGTTAAGGTATGAGTTTTTTCTAACCTAAAATCTCAGTATTCAGTTTTATTGCAGTCTTGACAGTTTAATAAGTGGGTTTTGGGTTGCAGTTTGGCCTCTTGTCTCTAAAAGGTTAGTCATCACTGCCTTCAGATGTGAAGACCTTGAGAAAATTGAAAATACTGTGGAAGTACCTTCTTTTAGGACAAGTAATTGCTGTTTTGTGACTTCAAAAGCTGGGTTCCAGCCCCAGTATCACAACCAAAAAGGGCATTTTATTGTCAAATGCAGAAATGTAGCATAACCTTTGATTATTTGTTTTGTCTTTCTGAGACAGCCTTACTATGTAGTCCAGGCTGACCTCAGGCTTGGCAGTGGTCCTGCCTCAGCCTCGTGAGTACTAAGATTATAGGCGTGCACCACCACACCCAGCTGATTATTTAGTCAAAGATTTTCAGTGTACAAACGTGGGGAGATGATAGTTTAAATATTTCAGGACATATAGAGCACTTGTATTTTGTGGTAATTTAAGTTGTGTCCAGTTTGATTTCTATATAATTTAAATTGAACAATGAATATTTTTAAGGACTAAAAACTTATTCTTGCATTATTTTTGACTTATTTCATGGCAACTTCTTTTATAGAACCACCATATGTATATATATATATATATATATTTTTAAGCAGTGTTGACTTGTTTTTAATTATGACAGTTGCTTTCCACAGCTTAATTCGTCACTGTTTAGCATTGAATATCCCATTGCTTTCCACAGCTTAATTCGTCACTGTTTAGCATTGAATATCTGTGCAGAACATATAACTTCCAAACAATAAGATGTAATAGACTTATTTTTTCTGTGTCAGATCCAGACAAACTCTCATCTGAATATGTAAAGTACTACAGTTGAGTAAAAAAAAAAAAAAAAGACAAATACACCAATGGAAAAATCAACAAAGGACTTGAAGACCTACTTTAAGGAAAATGAATAATTCATCAAATAAAATTATAAAACAATCATTCAATCTTATTAGTAATCAGAAAATGCAAAATGAAACTACGTGGTACCATTTTAACCAGTGTTTTAAAAGTTCGATATGAGTAAGTTTTAAGATATTGAGCTGCTGGAATGATTATGTACTGTTGGAATAAATTTATGACCATGTTAGAAGTATCTACCATATTTAACTCTGGTAAGCAAACCTGTTACAAGGTCTACATCATAAAGAATCCTGTAAAGACACATAAAAATAATATTTACAGCACCTTTGTCATAACTGCCAAAAAACTCTAATCAGTTTAAATAACTATAAGAGTAGAGTGGGGCCTGGGTGTGTAGTTCAGTGGCAGAGCAGGTGCTTAGCATGGGCAAGGCCCTGATTTCAATTCCCAGGATGAAAAAACAAAAAGTGTGGCATAGGTGAGTATCTTGCAGTGTATTTATACAAGTAAATACACCAATGAAGATGTTTGAACAGTTACAGCAGTGGGGGTGAGCTTTGCAAGTGTGATTTAACCAAAGAAGCCAGTCAAAAATGAGTGCCCAGTCCATGATTGTTTGTATGTCTCCCGTGTAGATTCACAAAATGAGTCTGTGTTGGCAGACATCAGGGTAGTAGTTGCTTTTGTGGAAAAGCTGCCACACTCAGCTGGAAAGTGGGGCTGTGGACTCAGCTTCCAATTGAAGAGTCCAAGCCTGCATTCACGGTGTGGTTTGCTAAATCAGTACAATTCAGTAGGTTTCTGTTCTCAGGAAGATAGTAGTTTTTGGATTTTTGAGAAGCTAATTGCTTAAAATATTAGAATTAATCACAGAGGTATGATTCTAGAGGCTGTTACTCTCTTCAGGCTGCTTAATTATTTTTATTCTTTGAGCAGGGTCTTGCTGTGTACTTTGCACTGGCTTTAAACTCACTGTGTGGCCCAGACTGGCCTTGAATGCATGGAAAATCTGCTGCCTCAGCCTTCCAAGTGTTGGGATCATAGGGGTGTGCCATCATGTCAGGCTTTACCGGTGCTTTAAGAGGTTTTTCATTACTTGATACTTACTTTCATTATCTGCCTACTACATTTCACAATGGTTGAGATTCACTTGATGCTTTCATGACTCACAAAGATCCTCATGTGAAAATGGTTAGGAAGTCTATAAATCAGTGAAAACACTCCGTATCTGGAGCAGTATCACAGTGTGACACCATATGTGTGTGTGTGGGTAGGAGGGTCTTAAGGCTTCAGACTTCATCATGGAGGCTCTCTGTTCATACTGCTTTCATGGGGAAGTTAACTACACAAATGCAGTGTTACACAGACGGAAATTCTACACAGGTGCATTTAGGACTTCTTGGATTACTATAAAGCTCTGCTGTTGGACACTGACTCTTATTTCTAGGCTTGGCACAAATAATAGATGGTGTGACGGCTCCACTTACAGGCCCAAATTTCACGAGATCTAGAAAATTTACATACGTGCTGACAGAAGGAATACACTAGAGAACTGAATAGGTTATTCTGATTTCCCAAGGAATGAAACCTACTCAGACACCATTGTAACAGACAGGACCTGGGCAATTTGGAGATAAATGTGTTTTGATGTCAAAGATACATTTCTTTTAAGCATTCTCTAACTTACAGATCACTTGGTCTCAGTACAAGTTCTAACTGCAGTATGTTTCATTGAAAATAGAAATTCATATTGATTTAAATAACAGTACTTTTCAGTTAGTGGTAATAACACTTCTTTTTTGTTTTAGTTTCTGAGAGAGGGTCTAGTTGAGTAGTCCAGGCTGGTCCTACACTCACTGTGTAGCCCAGGCTGGGCTCAAATTTATGGTAATCCTGCCTCAGTCTCCCAACTGCTGGAATTACAGGTGTGCACCACCACACTTTGCCATCTTTTGATTATTATTGCCAGATAACTCGTGACTCATTTTATCTCCTAGTCACTCTGTTCCTTAGCCATATAACCAATGAAGTAAAAGTCCAAGAGAAATTACCTACTATTTATAAATAACAGA